CTGATTTCTAGTTGTGTCCTCTTTTGGAAGACCAAACAAAGTAGTTTCGCTTTCACAACGAAACACACTGTGTCTTCACAACATGGCGGTGGCGGCAACAACAATACTACAGCGAGAATCAAAGTTACGGCTTCTTTCTTTGCGTGAACATTTGGGCGGCATTATGCAAATATTCCCACATTGTGATGTAGACATGTGGGGGCGTGTTAGAATGAGCCATTTTAGGTAGGCGTGATTGACTCTTAACTTTTATAAAGAATATCTCTTTGGATTTGAGTCTTTGCAACTTTACAGATCTTCTTTATGCACCACGAGCTTGAAACACTCCAAAGAGAAAGGAAAAATTTAAATCGCATCATATGACCCCTTTAAACAACATGAGGGTGAGTATATGATGACAGAATTTCCATCTGTGGGTGAACTATCGCTTTAAGATGAGAAAATCTAGCAAGTGAACAGTCAAAGCAGTTGCTTTAGCTAAATTATTTTCACAGTCGCTGGACTGCACATGTGCGACTGTTCTTACAGTTCAGAACTTGTCATCTGATGACTAATGCAAGATGAAATGCGGTGTGACACAGATGCTAACACTCTCAGTGTCAGAGGAGTAACGTTCAGAGTCGGGCTAATGTTTATGACAGGGTCACTGAGATGAGACAGGCATGGGCCCACACGCACCAGGCTCACATGCCAGCCTGACACACTGGGCGAGTCACTGGAGAGCTCAACTTCCAGCTATACGCCTCTGTTCCAAGCCTGTGGAAGGAGCACAGAGAGTTTCTGCATATTAGCATGATGCACGTTTTGCACGTATTGGAGGTTCTCAGTTACGTTTCACTGAAATATCAACTTTGATTAGATGTTTCTACCAAAATGAGAAACGCAAACAGACACAATTTTTGACATACAGTATGAATGAATTTAATGAGATTAAATGAATCTATACCTTGGGAGAATTTGATGAGAAAAGTTTGAGCTCATGTTGAAATCTAAGCACAAATCTGAACACGAATGTGAGCACAGTCTAAAACATTGCTGAGGTCTTTTCTGCAACTCTGGATGAGAAATATGCCACTGTCATAAATCATGCAATTAGAAAATAATTTAATAAATAAATCCGCAAAAGCAAAAAAGAAAAAAATGAAACTTTAAAATGAACACATGTAAAAGTCATGAAAATAAAAATACAATAAAAAAATCTATAAAATGTACAATAATTATGGAATTTAAAAATAATGGAATTTCAATTTATAAAATATCAGAGATTTCCACATTAAAATAGAAATTATAAATTGCTCTGCTCTACATTATTCTATTAGAAATGGCTCTTTCTCAGCACAACTTCTTTAAAAATAATTGCTAAAAATGATCAAGTAATCATAAACATATGGAAAAGCTAAAGAATATTCATGGAGAAGTCAAAAATTCATTGGTCCCAAGATACGGGAATCTTAATGTAAAATTCCTGAGGAAAAAAAAAACCCTACAACAAAATATGAGCAGCAGGAGATTAATTTGATTTCTATTTAGTATCACTGCTACCCAGCAGAAACAACTGAGATTATACAGAGAGATCCCATTTGTGATTTTTCTTTTCCTTGTCCTCTCTTAACATCGTCTCCAAGTGTCTGTCCATTCAAACGGGATATGAACATGTTGTTCTAACAATAGCAAGTCTAATTACATACACAAACACAGATTTAAGTTCCTCTTTTTTCCCCCTGTTATCCACCAATCTCCTTTCCCTCCCGCCCACTCGCTGTCCTACGTAACCGTGCAACCTTTTGGAAACCAGAAGCGCTTAGAATGGAACAAAGACGTAGGAGCACTGGAAATTAAGCCCTGCCCGTGTTTACATTCATGACTGTGGACGTCAGCACGAGGACAGGCCACACGGAATGTGATGCATCAACATAGACGAGAGCTTCTGTTGACTTATTAGTGGCATGGTGGATGCAAATGAATGGAGAGTGGTTGTGGGGGGTTAACTGTACTAGAAACAAACACATTGCTTACAGGACCTTGGCATTGACTGGGATGGAGATGGAGAAATCCGATCTGTTAGAACACGTCATGGCTGATCTCTGCTGGTTCTGTCCGGAACGTCTCCGTCATCTTTGTTGTACCACTGACCTCACTGCTAAACATCACAGAGAACAAACACATGGCGGCTGATTCAAAACAGTTGCTCTTTTGTGATGGCTTCTCATTTGAGGCAACAAATCATGTGGCTTGCTGAAAAGCATGATATTACTTTTCTAAAAGATCAGCCGTAGCTTTCAGCTTTGCTGTTTGCAGAAACGGGTATTAAAAATCCCAATGGTTTACACTGAATCTAGGGATCAGCATATCAGAGACAGTGACTTTTGACTTAAGCCATTATTTAACCACCTAGCTAGGCCATATAGCAACGACTCAGAACACTTCAGCAAACACTTCACAACACACTAGCAATGCCCTACAAACCATTCAGAACACCTTAGCAGTTCACAAAATCTAGCAACCATTAAGAACTCCCTGCCTTATATACCATTCAGAACACACAGGCAACAACCAGAAAACCTTGGCAACCACTTCACACCCTAGCAACGCCATTAATACCATTTGGAACACCTTAGAAACCATGCAGAACTCCTAGCAATGGCCTACAGACCATTCAGAACACCTTGGCAACCACCTCACACCCTAGCAACGCCCTACAAACCATTCCGAACACTTTAGCAGGTACTTCAAAATTGAGCAATAATTCAGAACTCCCTAGAAACACCGTTTATATCATTTAGGACAGCCTGGAAACCATGGCACCTTGACAGTCACCTCACTCACACCCTAGCAACGTCCTACATATCATTGATAACACCTTTGAAACTCAGAAAGATTTAGCAACACCCTACAAATCATTCAGAACACCTTGGCATCCACATTACACCCTAGGAGTGACAAACAAACCATTCAGAACACATTAGCAACCACGTCACACTCTAGCAACGCCCTACATTCCATTTGGAACACATTTGAAACAGTGTGGAACATGTAGAAACCATGGAGAACATGCTAGCAACATCCTACATACCAATAAGAACACACTACAAACCATTCAGAACACCTTAGCAACACCATACAAACATTTAGAACACCTTATCAACCACATAGAACACCCTAGCAATGTTTTACGTACCAAACAGAACACCCTAGCAACACCCTACAAACCATTCAGAACACCTTACCAACCAGCTCACACCCTAGAAAAACCCTACAAACCATTCACTACACCTTACCAACTACCTCACACCCTAGCAACACACTACAAACCATTCAGAACACCTTACCAACCAGCTCACACCCTAGAAAAACCCTACAAACCATTCACTACACCTTACCAACTACCTCACACCCTAGCAACACACTACAAACCATTCAGAACACCTTAGCAACACCCTAGAAACCATTCTGAACACCATAGCAACCACCTTACACCCTAGCAACACCCTACAAACTATTCAGAACACCTTACCAACCAGCTCACACTCTAGCAACACCCTACAAACCATTCTGAACACCATAGCAACCACCTCACACCCTAGCAACACCCTACAAACCATTCACTACACCTTACCAACTACCTCACACCCTAACAACACCTACAAACCATTCAGAACACCTTAGCAACATCCTAAAAACCATTCTGAACACCGTAGCAACCACCTTACACCCTAGCAACACCCTACAAACCATTCACTACACCTTACCAACACCTACAAACCGTTCAGAACACATTAGCAACACCCTACAAACCATCCTGAACTGCAGCTGCACATAAAATTGTGAAATGCAAAAAATCTGTTCTACATATTACATTAGGAATGTTTCAAAGAACAATTTCAGCAATGTTTTTGTAACCACAAAAGTTAATCAAAGCACATATTTTCACCACAAATGGTATGTTGTTCTAATCTAGTGCATATGCATATTAGAAGTATTTTCATAAGTCTTTTGATAGTTGACACTTGCGCTAGGGGTGCTTTTTGAGTGTGTGTGAGATCTTCAAAACGATCACAGGTCAAAATTACCTTTGGAAACTCTTTTAAGCAAATTAGCCTCCCTAAAGACATTGTATAATTTCTAAACTGCTTTCTGAATTTGGGAGGGAAGGGTTTTCAGATGACTGTGGAATGGTTTTGTGCTAGTTTTACTGCAGGTTATTGTGCACTATGCAATGCACTTCTGTGAAACAGCTGCTTGAGTGAAAGAGGGGGTGGCTGGCCTTTGCTCTGGGGCAAGTTCTTATCATATGAACTTTCTGTCTCTTCCACACTCACAGCAGATTTGATCAGATTCCACATTCCAACACATTCTGAAGAGGAAAGAGAAAAAGAGGAGAGCATTTAGCAGTGTAAATGATTATTCAACTATGGACAATTTATGTTGCTTTAATTCAAGTGCTGTTAGCACTGCTAAATAATTTCTTTGATTGATGATGATAATGTCTGTCTGTTACAGTTGTGCATCACGGCCTAAAGTCTAAACAGATGTGACCGATCACCAGTATGTTAAAGAGGTGAGAACATGGAGCGATCATTTACAAGCTCACTTAAGCGACGCAGAGTTGAAACAGACAGATGTTTGGATTGGGCTCTGGGGATCCCTCATATGCATCTCCCCCGATTCAGACCAACACACTAGAGCAAAGCTGGGTAACAGCAGAACACTGGGCTCATCATCACCAAACTTTCTACCACTCTTTTTACATAGGCTGTATTGAAACTAAAAGGTCCAAAATGGCCAGAAAAAAACACTATAAAAGTTACAGAAGTAGTCTATGCAGTTTCTGATGGCATTCAGTAGCTCTGTAGGAGAAAAATACCAAAATTTGAATAATTATTTATTTGGTTTCCAAAGAAATATTAATAAGCACAACTCTTTTCAATATTGATAACAATAAATGTTTTTTGAGAAGCAAATCAGCATATTAGAATGATTTCTGAAGGATCATGCGACACTGAAGACTGGAGTAAATTCAGCTTAGCATCACAGCAATACATTACATTTTAATATATATCAAAATAAATATTTCACAATATTACTGTATTAATGTATTTATCAAATAAATTCAGCCTTCTCTCTCTCTCTCTCTCTCTCTCTCTCTCTCTATATATAGTATCATATTAACATATTCAATGTATTACTTTATGCTTAATTCCAAGTGAAACATAGGTTAACAGAGAAACACTGCAACTGTACTTTATATATACTATAAAATACTATTTAAATAATATTTAGTCTCGCAGTGTTTCTTTATGTTAACATATGTTTCACTCAGGGCAGGGGTAAGCATAAAGTAATTGAATGAGGTCTAGAGAGTTTGAGTAAGCAGTGACATTTAAAACAGCACAGAGGAGGCACTTTAAAATGAGCATACACACACATTACATACTATGTGTGTGTGGACCTGCATCTGTATGCATTCACACACATATCTCTCTCCAGCACGGGACTGTTTTAACCACCAGGGTGTTATCTAGTTCAAGTTCACAGTGCTCCTTGTTCTCTTTTGACAAGCAGGTGATTAACTATTCAGTCAAACAATTGTTGAGTGTCACGCCACCCCCCAGTCCCACAGAAAGACCTAGTGTTTGGCATGATACAAAGCGTACATGAAAACCAGAAACACTTTGTGCTTCTGTCTTATAAGGTCTTACATTAGTGTTGGAAGGAGAATTTCTGGACGCTCCAAGTATGGAGGGAACAGTGTGTTCACTGAGTTGATAGGAGGCAAGAACAAGCCATCAAAGCCCATTGTTCTCTACACAGAACAGATATCTGGAGTATGTGCTTGAGAAAAGACTGCGTGTTAGACCTGGATGGAATCTGATGACATTTAATACATGTTCTGTGCTTATTTGGAAATAAAAAAAAGAATTCTACAGATTTTGTGCAATGGACTGCATCATGGTAAAATGTGTTAAAGAAGAGCTCCAAGTAATACATACCGTATAAATGACAGGTGTAAAGTAACTTGAAAGCAAGCTTCACAATATCAGTCAAGAAGTGACATGATTCAGCAAAATCAATGGAGGTAACCAGCATTGCACTTAGGGTGTGTTTATACTTGGCAGGTTTGGTTCGATTAAAACAAACTCCAATGAGGTTGCTCTATTAGTGTGCTTCATTTGAATAAGCGTGAACACTGTTATCCGAACCTTGGTGTGCACCGAACAAGCGGACACCAAACAAGACACCTCAGTCTGCTTCCAAACAAACTCTGATGTGGTTCAATAAAAAAAAAAACATGAATGCAACGTGGACCAAAGACACCTAAACGAACCAAAAACAGGATGTGATGTCATAAGATGTGACCTTAAATATAAGAATGCTCAACCTGGTTCTTCTCATTTTTTTTTATTTTCAGTCCAGACAAAAAGAACCATTAAACACCATTAAAGTCCAATCAAAACCAACCCTGTTTAATTGAATGCATGTAACTAGTCATATCATGAATAATTCACCAGTGCATGTCATTCCAAAGAGCTCTTCATAATCTCACATCAAATCTCATTGTCGGCTGCCATCGTTAAGCTGTCTCATATTTTAACCCCTCCCCTCCAAACACCTGACCTCATTCTGGTACTGAACACCCACTATGAGCCAAACAATTCCAGATGTATAAAATAAAGTCCCACCCAACATTTGTCTAGCTAAATATCCATCATCACTTGAAAAATAAACGAGTTTGTGAATGTCGTTTCATTTTTGTACTATTCATAGTGAACAACAAATAAGTATTTCACTGCTTAATTAAAGAAACTTTATTCAGATACAAAAGTCACACTGTGTAATCCCACAGAAACTTGTAGCAATGAAACACAACAAAACTCAATGTATTCACCCTGAGAAAAATCCCTCATAACCATAAATGCCCCTGTCTTTCTAATTTTTTCTTATGGCCCCTATGCTGAGGTGGCTTATTTTGCTTTTGATTCATTAAGAAAATAGTTAATTTGTTTTTAAAAAGGAAGTCTGGTCGAAACTGACCTTAATTAAGAGAACAAAGAACCCAGAAATCCTCCAAAAGGAAGCATTAGCTGATTCACGCACAAATAATTTCCCTATCCAATCACTCTCCTCCCTAATGTCTGCGGGGAATGCTTCGTAATGATACAGTGTCCAGAATAAAGCCTCCTTAAATCTCTAGCACATCACTCACTGTTACTCACTTTTATGGGAAAAGTATGTGTAATCTTTGTATGGATGCCAGTACATGTCATTGCGTTGATTCCTTCATCCTTAAAATTTCTGACAAAAAGATAAAGACGCAACAAAAATTCTTGACAAGCTGTTGTAAGGGAAACAGGTCAATTTAGCTCAAAGGGAATCATTTAAGATTTTAAAGGGAACTCCACCATTAATATGTAAGGGAATTAGGACAGAATCACTGTTTTACGGTTGATCACTGAGACGGCCAGCGATTCAGTGAAGGAGCCGTATGACATCAATTCTGCAATGGATATTTATATCCAAAATATAGTGAAAACACTATTAATTAGCACATGTAACAAGATCGGCAGTTTAAGACATTAACTTGTGAGCACAAAACACAAGATACTTCTCTTTTCAATATAAATAAGGCTTTATTGGATAAATCTAAGACATATAAACTAATCTAACACACGCATTCACACACAAGTTGCAGAAAGAGAGAAAGTGAGGAAAATAATTAGTTTAAGAGAATGAAAATGTGAAATCCCAAGTTTACAGCAATATGTGCAATTGCATAGATCTGAACAACCATCAATCACTTAATTAACCCTCGCACTGAGTTCCTCAATGAGGTTAAAATTGAGATTAAATGCACCAGTTCAGCTCTCTGTTTCTTTCCTATGTCAATGTATTTCCTATTAAAAGAAAGTTTAGTCAAGACGTATAGAAGTCATTAATTAATTAATATTTTAAATAGCCTTTAGTTAAATCACAGCCATGAAACATGTTTTGATACTCGCTGGATGGTTGCAAGGGGAGGGACAGTCTTAGTCTACAAAGCATCTGATTGGATCAAAATCTGTGTAGTGCAGGATGAGTCATCAAGATCTGATTAGACTTCAAGATCTGATTGGATGAAAAGGAAAGTCATCAAGATTTTTGATGACGTATTTTACAAAAATACATTAAAATAAAATGTGGTCCTTTTAATTACGTTTACGGAAATAATTAAAATCTATAATTTTGATTTATTTAAAAGCACTGAAATCAGTGTAACCACCCTCTGTCGAAATCTGTATGACCTGAAAGCTAAAAAAGACGGACTAAAAATAAATAAATAAATAAAATGCTCTAAATTTAATTACATAAAATGTAGCTTTTAATTAAATTTCATTACAATTTCAACTTTAATTCCCGGGGTCTTTTAAAGCACTGGATAGTCTAACCTCCTGCAGAAACATATACTTATCTCTGTGAGGAGATGCATTTAGACATACAGAAAGATATCTTATCACTCCTTTTAGCCTGTAGCAGCAGGCATGTCTTACATAAACATGCAGAGGGGAGGACAGGTGAAAGGGAGGTGTGCCTCAGAAGTTCTGCTGTGCCCTTTGGGGTTTCTAGCACAGAGCACAAGTTCTCAGCGATGCTGCAATCAGCGGTGGTGCATTAGCAGTGCCCAGTGCTTGCCCTGCAACCTAGGGCCCAGCAGACCTGGAACGCTGCTATTGTTACTGTAACATGTGCTGATAAACCGTGCTGATTTATGCGAATTGCAGTGAACCAGGGCACATCTGCAGCACCACAGTGACAAAGCCAACATGACTTGCAAGGGTGACACACGTATTCCTTTGTGCACTTATGACACTACACCACAGTGTTCACTGTGATAATGATGAAACTAAATATTAAGCACCAGCAGAACTGCTACATTTAAATGGCTGCCAAGGAGAAACTATTTTCCATTCAAAGTTTTTGTGCTTGCATAATAAAAAATAAAACAATACAATAGTATAGTATAGAACATAAAGCAGACTGAAAAAGGGAAGAACGTGGTTCCCTTTCCTGGGGAATGTGGTTGAGATAACTGAACTGGAATTTAGTGTGGGTTAGAGCCGTGTCACAGTGACATACTAACTGAGCAGCTCATTCACAGCGAGTGGAGTTTCAGCCGGGGGAAGTGACATTATTACGACCGGGGAGAGCTAGGGGGAAACTTAGCTGACTCTGTAAACAGGAATGACTGTTAAACAGCTGCAAGGTGCACTTAGCAACAAACACACGTTTTATCGTGCTCAAAGACACCTGCGCTGGTCTGAGCTATATTAAAAGGCCATTATGTGGTTAGATGCTGGGATGAGTCATCTGGGTCAATATGGATAGTAAACACACGCACGCACACACAACGTGTATCTCTCACGGTTACACACAACTCCCTGCTGTAGATACACCAAAACAAACACAACTGTTTCCAATTGCACACACGTCTATCAGATGACAGCACCTGTGAATTCAGACCAATCTGAGTTTTTTGCATTACACTAATGAGAACCATTTTTTATACATATATATAAACTACCCTCCAAAGTTTGGGGTCAGAAAGATTTTTTTTGAAAGCAGGTCACCATTTATTTGACCAGCCATACAGTAAAATATTCTAAAATATTATTACAGTTTAAAATAACAGTTGTCTATTTGAATATATTTTAAAATGTAATTTATTCCTGTGATGCAATGCAGAATTTTCAGCATCATTACCCCAGTCTTCAGTGTCACATGATCCTTCAGAAATCATTCTAAAATGCTGATTTGCAGCTCGAGAAACATTATTATCAGTGTTGAAAACAAGATGTGCTTCTTAATATTTTTTATTTTAGGGTTCCTTCAAAAAATAGAAACAGTATTTTAAAAGAACAGCATTTATTTCACACACACACACACATACACACACACAGTAACATATATAGTATATATATATAGTAACAATGTATGGTCACTTTTTACCCATTTAATGCATCTTTGCTGAATAAAAGTACTGAATTAAAAAAAAAAAAAAAACTGACCCCAAACTTTTGAACGGTAGGGTAACATTAATGATAATTTCATAGGAAAGTGTATAAGTTTTTTAAAATATATATATTTGATAAAAATGTTACAGTGCCAAAAAGAGATAATTTTTATTTTATATCAAATACTAACCTAATATTCTCATAAAACAATCATCATGTGATCATGCTCTTTTGCTGTTGTTATAAATAAGTGCAGCTTTGACAATTTGATCAAAACAAATTTTGTGTTCCACAGAAAGCGTCAAATGAGGTGAGTCACATGAGGTGGGTAGAAAAAGTTCAGTTTAAAGCAGATCATCTGCAGAAGAAATGTTGACTTGATGAGACCAATCAAATTTACACATTTCTAGACTAATTAAAGTTTTCAAAATCAAGCATTAAAATCTGATGGGGAGTGTGATGAATAAGCATGACACTACAGCCCATTTATGTAGCATTTTATAGAATTCATGGTGGGGTTGTAAGAAATTTGCAAAATGTGCATAATGAGCATGTGGATAAAAACAACAACAACTGCACAAGCATGCACACTGCTCCTGTTGCTTGGCGTCGTTCATCAGAATTCCCCCGTGGGCTCTACTCCACCCCAAACAACTATTTTACTACTCACAGTTTGATTAAAGAGAGAAAAGATGCTCACATGGATTAAGAAATTGGAGTACAAACACATAAAAGCAATCACATGCTGATGCATGTAAAAATGACAGAACACAATGAAATTCCACACCTGAGAATTCACACATCAAAACTCATCTGTCAACACAGACATGCAAGCTAATGAAAAGATCGCGAGTCAATAAGATCTTCAGATATGTGTCATTAGCTCTTTTCCAAAACTTATGCTGCAGACATAAGCAGCCGCCTGGTATAAGTCCCACATATGGGATCGGTTTGGTGCATTTTACATTGGTTGCATGATGCTAAGCTAACGGTGTGTTCCCACAACACACAAATATGCCATTTCTGTGTAATTAATTGTGAAATTTACTAGCAGTTTCTAAGGGTAATTCTTTTCTATTGTTTTCATTGCAGGTTTTGGAACGGAGCTGTTTCAGTTCCATGTTTACACGTGACACTATTGTGAAGAATCCACTTCCAAGAATATTAAGGATATCGTTTATAGTTTATTCAATTGTTCTGGGACATTTTAATGCCAAGAAAAGACAAAAAAAACCAAAAAGAAAACAGGTTTGTTTGGGAAGAGTCACACCTGCAGGTGGGGTGAGGTGAATAGATGTTTCAGGGCGTTTACGTGACTTTCGGCGGGAACAAGAGCAAGTTGCACCAAAATGAAAGTTTGACGCACGCTAGCACAGATCCATGAGGGTGCGGTGAGAAGCTGCACAGGTTGGGTTGTAAACGCCAGATCAGAATATAAACTAAATGTGTTGCTCAATGCACCGCAGAACAGATCCTAGTGATAATGAAAATACTGGAGTCACATAATAGGTGTGTGATGTACGTGAGCATCAACAATTGGCTCATTAACTAAAATCATACAGACTCGCATTTTATGTGATCAAAAATACAGTAAAATATTATGAAATATAATGAATTAATAAAATAGCTGTTTTCTATTTGAATATATTCTAAAATGTGATTTATGATGGCAAAGCTGAATTTTCAACAGCCATAACTCCAGTCTTCAGTGTCACATAAATGATATATATATATATAATAATATATATGTTTAATACTATAATTTAATATAATATATAAATGTTATGTCACGCTGTATTGGGTAAGATGCAGTAAAATAATAATGAAAGATTAATGAAACAACAAAAGGTTACATACAAAAATATTGTAATTAATAAATTCTTCCAATTGATTCTTCAAACTCTCAAGTTGAAATTTAACCTAAAAAAATTATATATTTAGAAAATAGATATACATTGTTGCAATATAGAAACAACCATCAGACTTAAAATTAGTAACACACACTATTTCAGTTCACTAGTATAAATGATCAACAAAGCACTCTGTGGCCTCTCTCGCCATTTTTATTGGCTCATAACCAATAAAAATTCAGTGTAACCGAACCATCATGTAAATATAAGCCATGTCTATGGTAACAAAGCCAAAGATATGCACGCACTCAGAGCTTTGTTTACATCCGATCACCTCTACTTCTCACTCAACAGCCCAGCCGACTCTTACAGAGAAATTCAGTGGAAGTCACTGCCCACTGCTTCACTCTTTTTTCACTCTTTCCGTGTGCCTCGGGTTCCAGGGAAGCAAGAAAACGTTATGAAATGAGACAGGGGGCTGGGAGGGAGATATAACGGCGCTGTATCTCTGCTGTACTGACCATGTGTGCGGCTTCAGATGGCTGCTCCCTGTGCAGCATTTCAATGGAAACGCATGGGGCCTCAGTTATCATCTGTTGAAAGGATTACACACTCGACACAGTCTGGTGCAAAACAACTCGGAACTGCTTTCATTCAGAGGAAGACCTCAAAAACATTTTCCTGTTGATCAGTAGTGCAACGGCCAAGGTTACTGATAACACAGAGAAACATTCTTGGAAAATGTCAAAACCCCTATCACAATATACTATATTTACCCAGGCTAGACCAACAACCTTCCTTCACCTCTACTTGTCCTCTCTTTTTAATGGCTCTATAGTGCAAGAGTAACGCCCACTTTTTCAGTGGCTGTGGTATTTCTTCTCATTTATTTTCTTCATTGTGATTTTAAACTTTTTTTTTTTAATTTACATTTTTTATTTTATTAATTCAATTTGATTAATTTTCATATACTTCATATCACAATGTTCAAGTGAAGAAAATAAAGATTTTTTCTTCTGAAAAACTAAAATAAGACAAAATTATACTGTGTACTTAAATTCATTTATGAGGAAATTAACTACCCCATGAAACACTGATGACATAATAGAACAAAACAATAAATAAAAATGGTTTTATACGCATTCATTACAAGTGTATTGTAAAACTTAAAAAGTTAAGCCGGTAAGAGTTATGAAGGTTTTTAAAGTCTCTGCTGCTCACCAAAGTTGCATTTATTTAATAAAAAATATAGTAAAAACAATAATATTGTGAAATATTATGACAATTTAAAATAAGCATTTTCTATTTTAATATAATATAATAATTTAAATATAATATAGTATAATAATTTATTCCTGTGATGCATAGCTGAATTGTCAGCATCATTACTCCAGTCTTCAGTGGAACAATAATATTTGGTTTGCTGCTCAAGATGTAATTATTGTAAAAATACCTATAACTCTAAAATTCTTATTCTAAAAATATGTAATTATGTATATAATGTTTATTTATCATCTTTATTTATGTTTTTATGTTGTGATCGTGGGTATTAACACAAAATAAAAAAGGAGAAAAAAAGAGAAGAAAAAAATAAGAAATGTTTATATATATATATATATATATATATATATATATACAGGTGCATCTCAATAAATTAGAATGTTGTGGAAAAGTTCATTTATTTCAGTAATTCAACTCAAATTGTGAAACTCGTGTATTAAATAAATTCAATGCACACAGACTGAAGTAGTTGAAGTCTTTGGTTCTTTTAATTGTGATGATTTTGGCTCACATTTAACAAAAACCCACCTATCTCAACAAATTAGAATATGGTGACATGCCAATCAGCTAATCAACTCAAAACACCTGCAAAAGTTTCCTGAGCCTTCAAAATGGTCTCTCAGTGTGGTTCACTAGGCTACACAATCATGGGGAAGACTGCTGATCTGACAG